ACCCTTACCTTTCTTGTCTCTGAGTGTATAGATATGTATATATAGTTGCTTTCTATATAGCTATAAAATCATTCAAGTATGCAAGAGTTGGCACAATCACAATATGAATGAGCAGCTTGTTAAACATGGCTTCATCACATATCCATTTGGAGATCCATTAATAAGGTCTGCAGGTAATATTTGAGATGCTGTTTATAAATTATGTGGCTTTACTGGAATATCTCAAGGTATTTTCATGATCTTTTTATTATATATTTCAACATCTGGAATGATGCTTGGTGGATTCGAGTTTTATTACAGAAAGTAATAACAAACTATTTACAGAAATAATTGGGAATTGGTGAACAAGAATATTACATGATAACCTAAGCTTTGGGCTGCACTGCACTCGTTATAGTGTATCTCTTAGCTGTATCTCTCCTGGATTAAGGTGATGTCTGTGGCCATTCAGTCAGTAAACATTTACTGTACACCTTCTGTATATAACCTTGTAGAATATAGAAGGAAACTCACAGAGTCAGGAAATGGAAAGAAAGAAAAAAAACAATAACAGAAAATATGTAAGGATTTCAAGGCAAATGACACAGGGCACATTAGAGAATGTGAGAGGATGCTGGCAGGAGCAAGACCACTGTCTTACTATTTCTCTTACTGGGGGGAAGTTTTTTATTAAACCCAAAAAGATATTAGGTTCCATCCTTTATATATTTGCTGCAATAACATCACTCACTTGTGAATGGCTTACTATACCTACTACCATTCTAAATGTTTGTATCTGTCACTTAATCCTCAGAGCATCTCAATAAGAACCTAGAACTGTTAGGACAGGTTTTCAGTGAGGAAATTAAAACGCCAAAGGTTTAAAAACTCCCTACATCACTCAGCTAATACATGAATGTTGAGATTTGAGCCAAACCCATCTAATTCTGTGGTCTGCATGTCTCCCTGGACTCTGCTCTTAGTTGGTGATCAGGAATGTGGACAGCAGGACTTCAGTTAGGAAGTCACATCAAAGTAACCACTTAGAAACTGAACGTCTTGCAAGTTGAGATTGCTCAACTTCTCAGAAAAACATAAGGACTGCTGCTATTGCTTAGAATTTTGAATATTGTAATGTATTTCCATTTTTTATATAGTCTTAAAGCTAAAAATTTAAATTTCTAACAGACAAGGATACTGTATTTTCAATGACTCAGTCTAGCTCATTACCTAGACTAACTCCATTTGAGTTAGTGCACAAAAGGAAATTTGAAGTAATACGTTAGTTTATACATAGGAATGAAGTTGGTAAAGGATCCAGAATCAAAAGGAGGACAGATCTAATGTAAAACCTATGAAGCTACAGAAGAAAATGCAGAAACAGTTGTGGCCAACACAAATAACTACTACAGGGGTAGAGATGAATGAAAATGGCAGGTGCATTTTAAAATGATAGGCAGAGTTAGACTTGTTGGCTGACACAGGATGCAACTATACAACTTGAAGATCAGTTATAACAAAGCATTTCTAGGTTATTGCTGCATTTGAAAAGACCCTTTCTACTTTTTTGTTTCCCAAAAGCTTAAGGTTAAGCTTAAGGCTTGGCCTTGGGTTCCTTTGTGTATGTTTCTTGTGAGTTCTTGATGCTTGACCAGTGAGTGGTTTCAGTCTGTGGTCCAAAGCTCTGAGCCTCTCACACACACACCCCAATACAGTTTTCTATACATTGAGTTTTATGTAAGATTTCAGAGAGTGGGGAAGGGAGAGGAAGAGCACACACACAAAACAACAAAACCAAGACAGGTGACTTTTTGGATGAATGACACCCAAGTCAGTACCTCCCATCTCTCATCTCAGAGCTTGGCTTGGGCTTTCTTTTGCATATTAGACTAGAGATTCCATGAGTTTGACAAAAATTACTACCTATCTTTCTCCTGTCAGACTAGTTCTTCCCCTACGTCTGTTTATTGCTTTGCTATTATCTGAAACTGTAAGCTGTAACAAAGTGAGATAGTTTTGTCTTACTTCATTGCTCAAAGTCATCAGTCTCTATTCTTATTGATTTTTTAGGAAGTAATTCTCTACTCATCCCTTTTTGTCACATAGCTTCTTCTTCAGGATTAAAGTGCCCAACTCCACTTCCAACTGCTCCCTAAACTTCTGAAAAGATCAGTCTGTCTGTGGACTCTTAGCCCAAAAATACACTTCAAAATTCAAGCCATGTTTCAGTTTTCTAGAATTCTAGCCACCATTATGGGCCCTCACAAAGACCCAAAAGGTTTCTCCCATACCTCTTTCAGCTGTATTGAGGGGCCATGCTGAATCCCAAACTTTGTAACAACACTTCTATTTGATTTAGTGCTTTGTAGTACAAATGTGCTGAGTACGATGACTGTTCCATACACATCATCTCTTCATTTTCCAAACAGTTCTGTGAACGAGGTACTATGAGTGTCTCTGTTTTCCAGAAGGGGAACAGATTAATCTATTTGTTCAAAGTCAGACAAAAATGATAAGTTCAGAGAACTGAAGCAATGTGCTCTCTCTCTCTCTCTCTCTCTCTCTCTCTCTCTCTCTCTCTCTCTC